AGGGATAGGAATGTAGCTCAGTGGTAGAGCAACTGTCTAGCATATGCAAGGTGCTGGGTTCCACTCCCAGTGCTGAACGACAACAACAACAACAAATTAAAAAGCAGCGTGGATGGGAGCCCTGTTGCTGAGAATTGAGGAGCAAATGTGTAAATGGGTGGTGATGGGGTACAGGAAACCAAAGCTCTACAAACGCTGGAGAAAATCAAGGCAAAGGAGTCAACAGAAGACAAAAAACTGAAGATTTAAGTAAAAGAGAAGAGCAAAGTCTGAAATTATATGCAATACTAACAGTAAATGAAAATGTAAAGGGATTAGCTTCAAAGGAAGAGGAAAAAGTGGGAGAATTCTAAAGATTCAATATATGACATAGAAAGTGTTGATATTGTTTAGTCTCTACTTTTGAGTAAGAAAGGGAATGACAATGTACACACTGCAAGGACGAAAGGGCTCATAGGATGTGCACTGAAGCTCCAGTCTCCTAACAAAATCTTTGGCACAAAACAGACATACATTAGCTCCCCAGTGAAATCAAAGAAGAAATGATGGAGGATTCAGGATTATTCCTTGGAGTCATTTGGTCACAACAGAGGTGAGTTGAGAATAAGAGGCATAAGAAATGGAGTCTCAGGCTGGGGATGTGGCTCAAGTGGTAGCACACTCGCCTAGCATGTGTGGGGCACTGGGTTCGATTCTCAGCACCACATAAAAATAAAATAAAGCTGTTGTGTCCACCTAAAAAACTATAAATAAATAAATAAATAAATAAATAATTTTTAAAAAGAGAGAGAAAGAAATGGAGGCTCAGCAATGGGCTAAATATCTGCTGCCCAGTAGCCCAGTTCCTCAAAAGTAATGGTAACCTGTCAGAAATGATTGTTAGAGTGTTTACAGGGCTTGGGTGTAAAATCTGATTTGACACCATTCACACTAAAACCCCAAACAACCAACTCTATACTTGTGATATCATGTAAATTAAGTTGTATCTCATATTGAGTTTGAATGTAGAAAAGTTGTTTTAGGTATTGTGAATTGTGCTGCTATAAACATTGATGTGGCTGTGTCCCTGTATGTAGTATGCTGTTTTTAAATCCTTTGGGTATAGACTGAGGAGAGGGATAGCTGGGTTCAATGGTGGTTCCATTCCCAGTTTTCCAAGAATTCTCCATACTGCTTTCCATATTGGCTGCACCAATTTGCAGTATCATCAGCAATATACGAGTGTGCCGTTTTCCCCACATCCTCACCAACACTTATTGTTGTTTGTATTCTTGATAGCTGCCATTCTGACTGGCATGAGATGAAATCTTACAGTAGTTTTGATATGCATTTCTCTAATTGCTAGAGATGATGAACATTTTTTTCATATATTTGTTGATTGATTGTGTATCATCTTCTGAGAAGTGTCTGTTCAGGTCCTTGGCCCATTTATTGATTGGGCTATTTGATTTTTTGGTATTTAGCTTTTTGAGTTCTTTATATACCCTAGAGATTAGTGCTCTGATGTGTGAGGGGTAAAAATTTGCTCCCAAGCTGTAGGTTCTCTATTCACCTCACAGATTGTTTATTTTGCTGAGAAGAAACTTTTTAGTTTGAGTCCATCTCATTTTTTGATTCTTGATTTTAATTCTTGTGTTATAGGAGTCTTATTAGAGAAGTAGAGGCCTAATCTGACATGATAGAGATTAGGGCCTACTTTTTCTTCTATTAGACACAGGATCTCTGGTTTAATTCCGAGGTCCTTGATCCAATTTGAATTGAGTTTTGTGCATGGTGAGAGACAGGGGTTTAATTTCATTTTGTTGCATATGGATTTCCAGATTTCCCAGCACGATTTGTTAAAGAGGCTATCTTTTCTCCAATGTATTTTTTGTGCCTTTAATTAATATAAGATAATTATAATTTTGAGGGTTAGTCTCTGTGTTCTCTATTCTGTACCATTGCTCTACTAGTCTGTTTTGGTGCCAATACCATGCTGTTTTTGTTACGATTGCTCTGTAATATAGTTTAAGGTGTAGTATAGTGATGCCACCTGCTGTACTCTTCCTGCTAAGTATTGCCTTAGCTATTCTAGGTCTCTTATTTTTCCAGATGAATTTCATGACTGCTTTTTCTATTTCTATGAGGAATTCCATTGGGGTTTTGATTGGAATTGCATTAAATCTATATAGTGCTTTTGGTAGTAGTAGATGAATGGATTAAAAAAATTGGCATATATACACAATAGAATATTACTCAGCAATATAAGAAAATAAAATCATGGCATTTGCAGGTATATACATGGAGTTGGAGAAGATAATGGTAAGTGAAGTTAGCTAATCCCAAAGAAACAAATGTCGAATGTTTTCTCTGATATAAAGAGGCTGGTTCACAGTAGGGGCAGGGGGAGGAGCATGGGAGGAATAGATGAACTCTAGATAGGGCAGAGGGATGGGAGGGGATGGGAGGGGACATGGGGTTATGATGGTTGAATGAGATGGACATCATTATCCAAAGTACATGCATGAAGACATGAACTGGTGTGAATATACTTTGTATATAACCAGAGATATGAAAAATTGTGCTTTATATATGTAATATGAATTGTAATGCATTCCAGAGTCATACATAGCAAATTAGAATAAAAAATTTAAAAAATGAAAAGTTGTTTTAGTTCAATGATATGGCTTTATGATTATGAAATACTTGGTCAAAGAGACTTTGGAATGCACTCAGAAAAATCTCATTGATGCCATCATCACTAAAAGTTCCTCATTTATGTATGACTTCTTTCAGAATGACTATTAGCCGGACTTATGAAGAAGCATAAGACCATGAGTTTCATTCTCCTGATTAGTCATGTCTAAAATACATACTGTATAGCTATAAAGATGCCAATATATGTGTTATATGATAAAGATTTTCTACTGTGTATGCTTAGGAATGATTAAATGATACTACTCTTAAGAAGACTCTTACAAAAAAAGTGCAGGTTTTTATTTCTACAAGAAATTCTACATCAGATAAATTAAAATGAGCATAACATAATATGCAAGATGGTAGAAATAATAAAATTTAGGTTTAGAAGTAATTTAAAGGTAATTTTGTCCAATCTCTTCCCTTTAAGGCTGAGTATCTAAATCCCAGGAAGATGAAATGGCAACTAAAAGGTACAAACTGGTTAGGAACATAAGCCTCTTGGCTCTGAATCCCAGGTGCTTTCCACAATGCCACAAAGACAAATTTCTACCAGGCTCCTGGGAAATTATTCCCAGGGCCAAAATAGTGAATAAATACACATACCAGGCATTCAGTGAGTGTTTTCTTAATGGGACAACTGCATCTCTGTTCTAATCACTGATATCCCAGGAGTTAGATAACCACCCTCAAGATGCCACTTTCCCAGTACCTAATAAGGCAATATAAAGCACAATTACTTTAGAATAATAAAATTTAGAACTTACCATCTAGTCTCTCTCCTGTTAATTAATTCATAAGATCTTCTCAATAATAAGTTAGAGGGCATTAATCCCTTACTGTAGATAATAAAGTGTTCTACCATGAACCACAATCCTAGCCCTAGATGATGATTTTACTTTTATCTCAGATATGGTTTTTCAGGTGTATATTGTTTGGGAGTATCAGTGAGCTTACAGAATAAATTGTAACTAATTGAAACCAGAGTTTTAGTTTGTTTCTTATATATAGAAGATTTTAGGGAGCTTATAAACAATCTGAAATGACAAGAAAATTGGGCGCATATAAGAGTTTGTGGATACACTGTATATCATTTATCTGCTTCTCAAAGTGATAACAAAGGTGACACCAAATGTTATAGAACCACCACTCTCCATATCTTATAACAACATAGTTTAGACATAAATTAGATATAGATTAGATATTTCTTTGTTAAAACAGGAAGCTGATTTTTAAACACAGCCCAACGATTTTAGTATGCATTTAGCTACATAAAGACTAATAATAGACCTCCATTAAGTGTATGATACTCCTTTCTATCTTATTCTGAAACAGAACAAAACAAAAATACTATGTTACAAAACATTAGTAATATCAATTAAAGACAACCTAAATAAATGAAGATATATCATGTTCATGGATTAGAAGACTTAACAATTTTAAGGTGTCAGTTCTTCGCAAACTTACTATATATTCACTATACCTCAATTATACCCCAGTATGCTATTATTTCCTTGTAAAAGTTGAGAAGTTGATTCTAAAAGTTATAGGGAGATGCAAAGGACCTAGAATATCTAACAGAGTTGTGAAAAATAAATATAAAGTTTGAGGACTTAACACTTCTTGACTTCATGACTTGCCACAGAGCAGCTATAATTAAAATAGGGTGACACTGCCTGAGGATAAATAAAGAGAACAGAACAGAGCCTAGAAATAGACCTCCACTTATACAGTTAAAGTCACCTACACAATATAATGGAAAATGAAAAATCTTTACAATAACTGAAACCCAAAAATGTAGATAGTCACATGGAAAAAAAATTGAACCTCAACCTCAACCTCACACAAAATTAATTTAACATAGAACATTGCCTAAATATAAGTGGTAACATAAAAATTTAAAGGAATTAAAGCCCTATGTATCATCCTAAATAGACCACAGAATATTTTCTTATCTCTTCACAGTTTCCTAATTTCATTTCTAAATTGTTCTTCCCAACACCTAGAACACATTTCAGTTCAATCTGGGTGCCTCTTAGAAAATCAAGCAATTGTCTTAAAAAAAAACAAGCTAGATGTGAAATCTCTGGCAAAGATATATTTTCTGATTACTTTCTTAATTACTTGAGGATCAGAACAAAACTTCACTGTACTTAATGGACAAAGTTGTCTACATTGAGCTGAAATGTTTCCAGAGATTCTCATCTTTAATGTCAGATTTTAATGGACATGAGTACCTCCTACTTGCATCTTTCCTGTGTCCACTTACAAAGTAGGAAATAAAACCATAGCAACATTAAAACATGCAATATGAAGCCATTTACCGGAGTCCATAGAGAACTGTTCCGTCAGGATGCAGTCGGATCATTCGATTTTTCACTGTGACTCCATGCACAAACGACTTCTTGTCATTCAGAAAGTAGGTGTCTGGCACCCAGAGCTGGTCTGCTACCCTGTTGTCTAGGGTGAGGTTTAGAGGGATTCCAGAATAAGAAAGCCGTTTGTCTTTCCAAGACTGTTGGAAATACATGGTGAGGGTATAGTCCTGTGAAATAAAACCAAACACATAATTTTATCATCATCATCATCATCATCTAAGGCTCTTTGTTAAAAATTTTATAGCATATGGCATTGTGGACATCCAGGACCCACCCTCCTGATATCCCCTGAGAGATACATTTGGATATATTGAAATTTACTCCTTCATGTGTAAGGCAACTAGTAGGATAAAAGTACTAGAATAGAACTAAGCACAAGTATTTCCACCAATATAGATCAAATATATGTAATTGAACTTCAAGGTGTGAAGTTAAGGTAATGATACCATCGGAAAGCTCAGAAATTGTATGAGATGCATCATTTCCAAAATTTACATCTAGATATTATTCTTATGGTTTTATTTTGGAGTGGAATGATTGATAATAACTAAACATGAATGCCCTTAAAAGGAAAAGGTTTTTTTCAAACTGCAAATTCTTTTCTGCTGTTTGACACATAATGGTTATCAATTGCCATTATCTAGATCTTTCTAGTGAATTGCAACCTATCTGTGGGTCCTGAAAAGTAGTGATAAAGCACGTGTAGATAAAGATGAGAAAACTGACATCAGAAGTATAAATGATCAACAGTTCCTCTTATATTTATTTATGCTTCATTTAAGAAATTGGTTTGAATTTAGAATTGTTTGCTCTTGAGAGTTCTTTTTTCCTTACCTTCTGCAAAAGGTAGCAAATGAGGACAAGCCCCTGTATTTTTCTTTCTAACCAGGTTTTCCCTGGCAGTGAAATACAGGAAGATTTGGGCTCAATAAATGGATCAAGCAACAGGGGATGGATGGTGATGATTATCTTAGTGCTTTATTTTTTGTCTGTTTTTAAGGACCTCTATTAATTCAAAGTATAATTGCCCATTAAAAGAAAATCAATTGCCAGCAGTAAAATCATAGTCTTTAAGATATGGATCCCAACATAATAAAAACATAAGGCTCAATTTTTCTTTTAAAGGATACTTGTATGTCCATAGTTACTTTGTGAATGCTTTAGCAACCAGTAACAAAATACTGCATAATTCCTGCACAATATCTGTGTACTAACATTGCAATATAAATCACTAATTGAGAATCTATTTGCCCTACAACTGGGCAAATTATACTCCATCTAGACCCCTGCATAATATTCATTCTGAACAATGAATCTCTGCTTCTTTTCACATTGGGTTCAAAAATATTTTTACTGTTTACTCAGAAACCATCTTGCAGTGATTGAAAGCCATTCTTTCTTATTAAATGACAAAGGTGTTCATTATTTAATATTAATCAAACACTATCTTTTTTAAAATCTAAAATCTTATTCATACATTTATAAAGCCACATGGTTATATGCAATTCTCTCAATTTGTACCATACCATTTGCATCTTTTTCAAATCCTTAACTATTTGAGGATTAGAGCAAAATTTTAAGGAGAAAGATGAATTGAATAGATTCTTAGCTCTAGATTTCAAAACACTTTGATTTTAAGTTTTACCACATGTAGATTTGTGTAACTATAGGTGGCAAACATACTCTCCTATACCTCAGATACTTTGTTTACAAAATGAAAATAAAATGGCATTTTTTTTTTTTTTGCTTATTGTGAGCATCAAGTGAGAAAATTTAAAATCAAGGTACTTTAAAAACTGTTAACATGTTCAACAACAAAAACCCCACATCATCTTAAAAACAGTTAATTGCTCTGTACAGATTGGTATCATACTTTCAAACACTGAGTGCTCATAATCAATTATCATGATAGTTGCTATTTTAGTGGAAGAATTAGTAGGCAGATAGATCCTGTTGACCAGGAAAATAAGCAATTTGTGATGATCAATTCCAAGTTTAGAGGTTGGGTTCTTGTTGTAATTCAGCCAGTGTAAAAAAAAAATGGTATAACTAGCCAATGTCAAGATATTGTAAACTTTGCCCTAGCGACTAGCACAGTCACCGATGAAATACATGCTTCAGTAATCATAAGAATCCCTGTCAGCTTCTAGGTTCCCATAAATACTACAAAGAGTCTCTCCCAATGAGACCTGCTGAAATCCTTACTCCACCCTCCCGCCCATAAGTAAGGTTTTAATGTGCAGAGGGGAAAACATATAATCATAGAGTATAAAGGAGGATGATTTTGAAAATTGTTAAGAAAGGAGATGGCAAAAGCTCTATCCTTAGATACACAGAGGAGCTTGTGGAGGGGGCAAGGAAGATGGCGGACGCCTCACAGCAGCTCCTCACATCGGCCTTACCGTGGGGATACTGCTTCTCAGAGAGGTGAGTAACTAAGGAAACTCACTGAAACTTCATACTGAAAACTGTTAAAAAATGTTTAGAAAGATGCACAAAGTCAGAAACTCGAAGGTAGGACATAACAAGTTAGAGGAGCGCCAGCTCGGGTGCCAGCGACGGCCAGGGTCAGTGCGCACAAAGGGGTGGCCAGCGGATGAAGAATTTTTTATTTTTAATTGGAAAACTGACTTGGGGAAACCTGTATATTAGAGAGGGAGGCTGATTTTAATGTACACAGAGTCGGTAGGGTAGTGGTTTACTATAAGGAAATCCAAAATTAGTGCCCTGAGAATGCTCCAGGTGTGGAAAACGAGCCTGGGCCCAAAGGGAGACACCACAGTTCTCTGGGGCGGGGGGTGGGGGGCACGTGGGGGACCACCTGGCAATAAAAGCGCCCCACAGTAATATGCTTCACTCACACCCCCCAAGGAAAACATCGCAGCTGGTACTGCCACTGCCGACTGAGAGCACCAAGAAGGGGAAAAGTCCCTAGTGCGCATGCGCCTAGTGGGAAACGCCTCCCACTCTACAGCTGCTGCTAGGGTCCAAGCGAGCGCCAGACGGAAAATACTACCTCTGGTGCCACCACCGCACCAGGTGGTACTGCTGGCAGTGACAGGAAGTTGGGAATTTATGAAGGCAACTTAATTTTTTTTTTTTCTAGAAGACACCTGAACCAAAGAGATTAAAATGAGCATAAAGAAAATTATACATGGACCGTTCAGGTTCTGGATCCCAAGGCAGGAATGCTACCTTCATTGCTGGCATTGTAGCGTACACACAGGCGCGTCTGCACCCCGGGGGCAGATAACTGGTATTTCATATGCATTGCAGTGAATCTGACACCATGAAGGCTATCTCTACACACCTTAGAAGTGGATTTACTAAATATTCTGTGGTCTATTTAGGATGATACATAGGGCTTTAATTCCTTTAAATTTTTATGTTACCATTTATATTTAGGCAATGTTCTATGTTAAATTAATTTTGTGTGAGGTTGAGGTTCAATTTTTTTTCCATGTGACTATCTACATTTTTGTAGAAAATAATTGCCAACCAACATTGCTATACCCAATAACAGTCTCTTTCATCTTCAATGGGAAACAGAAAATGTCTATGACAAAGATAAACTGAAAGAATACATAGCAGCCAAACCAGCACTACAAAGAATCCTTGAAGATAAATTGCACACAGACAAACCCAAAAACAAAATCCAAAATTCCCAAGTAAATGAAAATCAACAGAAGACTTATCAGCTAAATTAGAATCAAAACAGAACTAAATGTAACAAAACATCAAAATGCCAGTACACTACAAACACATATCCATAATAACACTGAATATAAATGATCTCAACTTCCAAATTAAAAGACATAGACTAGCAGAATGGATCAAAAAGTAAGATTCAACTCTATGATTTTTGCAAGAGACTTATTTCATAAGCAAAGACACAGGCTGAAGATATAAAGATGGAAAAAATATCTCATGCAAATGGAGTTCAAAAACAAGCTGGCATAGCTATTGTCATATTTAACAAATCTGATTTTAAGCAAAAACTATCTTAGAAGAGATAAAGAAGGCCATTACATTCCTGGTAAAGGGAATAATCCAACAAGAAGATATAAGGATAGTAAATATATATTCCCCAGATATCAATTCACCTAGTTACATTTTAAACAAATACTCCTTGACATTAAATCCTAGACAGATTCCAATACAATAATACTGGATTATTTCAACATACCCTTAGAGCCAATAGACAGATCATGAAACCATACAATCAATAAAGATATATCCAACCTAATAATACTATAATTAAAATGGACCTAATAGATGTAAACAGAATATTTCACTACAAATTATCTGCATTTACCTTGTTCTCAGAAGCTATGGAAACTTTTCCAAAATAAACCATATAAATACCAAAAGATAGATATAATCCATTTATCCTATCAGAACATAATGGAAAGAAACTAGAAATCAACAGCAAAAAAATAATAGAAATCACATAAATCCTTGGAGAGTACTCTTTAATGAAGAAACAAATAGGAAATGAAGAAGAGATCAAGAAATTCTTACAAACAAATTAAAACAAAACTATCACATATCAAACTCTTTGAGACAGCATGAAAACAGTACTGAGGAAAATTCTTTGCATTGATTGCCTACATTTAAAAAAAAGTTGAGAGATCCCAATAAATAATCTTATGATCTACTTCAAAGCCTTAGACAAAGAAAAAAATAACTCCAAATACAGTAGAAGACAAGAAATACTAAGAATCAAAGCCAAAATTAGTCAAATTGAGAATAAAAAAACAATACACAGATTTGATTTTTTGAAAGTGATAAATAATATTGATAAACCCTTAGCCAAATTAACCAAAAGAAAGAGAAAAAACACAAATCAACAAGATTAGAGATAAAAAGGAAACTACTACAGACACTTCTGAAATCCAGAAGATCATTAGAAACTATTTTATAAACTGCAAAATCTAGACCCATCTGACTTGCCCAAACTAAACCAGGAAATTATAGAAAAAAAATAAACAGACCAATATCAAGTAATGAAAATGAAACTGAAATTAAAGCCTGCCTACAAAGTAAAGTTCAGAAACAGACCTATAAAGAAGACTAACCCCATTCTTTCTCAACTTATTCCATGAAATTGAAAGGTAGGAAACACTGCCAAACACATTCTATAGAGTCAAACAGACAAATAGCCATC